TGCTGTGAAAGGGTTTATGGAATGTTAACCTGCTCCTATGAGCACTTAAGTAGTTATGTTATGTATAATTATTTGAGATTGAATAGTCATTACTTGAAAGTAATCTGTCTTTAAACTTTGCATTCTTGGCAAAATCATCTGCTGCTTCTTTATTTGTTAAAGCAGTTACATGTTCAATGAAAAGGCAGCTTAGCGAGTATATAATAAAGTGATAGCCTCTTTTTGTAAAAAGTGGTTGATTGTGTCAATAGATTTAGACATTATTGATGCAGTGAATTTGGATCGTATTATTTCCTGGGAGGTTGCTTGTTGACGAGGTTTCAAAATTTGTGAAAAAGGAGTCAGTGGCAGATAATTCGCGGCACAAAGAAGCTCATGACATTTTGGACACAAGGACTAAGACACGTATACCAATGTCTAAAAAGGCTCTATCGTGTCACAACAACTTCTGTCTCCATCAGGCGAGGTGCAAGTCTTGATGCCCTTTAAGACATAAGCCTATACACAAACGAATTGACTACTTCAGTAAGTTACATAATACACTCCAAAGTACAAAAGTAGAAAAAGTAAACTAGGTCTAAAATGTACGATTCAGCGATATAATGTTAACATATTAGTTTTGGGTCAATGATAATTAACCCAGCAGTCAGCAAGTAAAAGAAAAACACTGAAGGAAATAGTTAACCAGGCACAAGTAGAAGAAAATATAAGATATTGAAACACATGACGTCCTGAAGCTGACAACTAACCACTAACTAGAAAGTGCAACTAAGGGTGTGTTTGAGCCACATCATTTTGGAAGAATGTGTTTTTGAATAATAGATTGATGGAGAATGTGTGGTTGAAAAAGAATGAAAAGGTATTGATGTGATGGAAAATATTATTTTATTAAAGAATGTGTGGTTGAAAATGAGTAGAAGAATGAGAATGAGAAATTTAATGTGACTCAAACAGGGGCTAAAGGGGTAAAAACACAATAAAACATCTGTAAGTGGCAAGTAAAAGAAACAATTAAGCGACAGCTGAAAGTCTAAAACTAATTCACTAATTAACCAGTTCTTTGCAAGAATCTTAATTAGTTTGACTTTTAAAGAAAAGAAAAGGAAACACTGAGACACCAAAGAATAGTGTACAAGAATGAAAAGAAGGTCTCCTATCACCGGTAGTCTTTCCTTGGTCTTTAGCTGCTGAAAGGATACAATGTCATTGATGGAGGGTTGTCAAACTGCAATTGTAGGAATATAAGGCTAGGGCATTCAAGACTTTTTAACTTATTCTCTTCTTAATATGCAATTTTTCTTTTCTTAGTTTTAGGGTTAGAACGTGTTCAAAATACCAGTAGTCAAGGGGCAAGCCTTGATAACTTGCATTCAAGGTGTACCTTAAAAGAACTCATAAATTGCAGATAAAGAAGTTCCATTTCCCTATGTTTATAACGAGGTGAGACTTGAGAGCTTATGCTGAAGTTGCTTGGAGCAATTCTAGCTATATGTATAACTGTAAACAAGAACATAAATGCGTAAGTTCTTATAAATATTTAGTAACTTTGACCGTTCACCCAAGGCCAATCTAAGATTCAAATGTAGTAAATGATTTAGGGTAATGAGAGTGCACTAAATGAATTGCTGCGGCAAAAAAAAATATTGCAATGGCAAATAATACAGCTTGCAATCCCCAAAAATTGTATCTAAATTGACTTGTATTTTCTCTCGCAGCTTATCAAATCTATACTTTTTCTCCCTTATTCAGTTATTGGCTTCTCTTCTTGTGTATTATTCTCTAGTGTAAGATTTCCAGACTGCCTAAATAAACTCATTCCATGTTCTGAACATCATGTGATGTCTGAGGTTTGGCAGATAATTACTAAAACAGTGAACCAGGAAATAACTCTAAAACGGAAATAGGAAATATTGTTCCAAATGTTTTATGGCTGATAGTACAGCTGTAAAAAAATTGTAGACATCTATCGAGGGAGATTCAATAGAACTTGATTATTCGATTGGTGGTTCTTAAACTCAACTCAACAAAGCCCTATATCATCCCATACTTATGTAAGGTTGGTCCACTAGCCTCCTTATCCAATTGATAAACTCCCTATCACAAATCCAAAAAGATTTTCTGAATTTGTCTTCTCAACCGTAATTTGTCTCTCTGTCATTCTCTCCAGTCTCCTCCCAGCTTCATTATGTGACTCATTAACTTAGTTCTAGGACAATTGAACATCATGAATATAATTTTTTTAATTATAAATATTCCTCCGTTTGTCTGGTATCGAAGATTAATGGCTCTCTGATGCAAGAAAACTGTTAACGTGAAAAATAAAAAGTAAGGTTTCAGATCTGAACAGAGCACACTGTGTGTATGTGTATATATTTTGTCTTTAACTGTAGATTTCTTTCTCTCTTCTAGAATTTTATGATTTGGATATCATTATGTCATCTGACACTGTGTTTGCCTTGCTTCTTCAGCATATGCCTCAGGAAATATGCCTTTTCTTAAAAGAATTGGGACAATCTTAGACTTCCTACACCTGAGGCGAGCACCAGATTTTGAATAAATATATTCTTAGTGTACTAAGCATGTTCGTAACATGTGATGAACATGGTTGAAATTAAGGGGAAAAAATAGTAACAAAATTCTGGACAATTGTGATTGATTGATGATTGACGTGTATTGGAATTATGCTGAATTATTAGTTCACCACCTGTGTCCCAGCCTACACAAACACAATGACCCATCAGAAGGAAAATGATATATTAACTACAAGTTATTGAGTTGGAATCACTTGCATTATGTTAAGGTTCTAACAGGGAAAAACAAAGAACAGAATTTGTATAAGCAAAACTCTTATTGAATGCTGAAAATGATTACTGAAAAGGAAGATAACATATAGTCATTCGAGAGGACTACACTCTTCTCCCGAGCCTCACTTTCACTCACTTCATTCCCCCCTCTACCCTACAAGTTGCCTCTCTATTTATAGATCATTTCTAACTAATTTTCCCCTCCACTTGCCATAAAAAATTCTGTTGATGTATATTCATCTCAATTTTTCTGGGCTTTCTAGAATTGGAGCACCTTGTCCTCAAGGTGGAAGTGAGATTTAACTGCAAATTCTCGATTATCATATAGTTGAACAATTTCTTTGGTATGAATCCATGCTGATGCTGATGCGGAAAAGGAATAGTTCAATCCAAGGGCCAGGACTGATTGACTGACTACTAGTTGTATAGTGCCCAAGCAAACTCCATAACTTGTTGTCCCCACCATCAATGTTCGCGTTTGGAACGCATTGCTCCCTTTCATCTCTGCACGAATCTGCCCCAGTTTGGAGTATTTGGAGCCCACGGTTTTGTTAGGTGGCTTTACTGTAGTGTTCCTATCTTCAATTAGTTTTGGGGCTGACGGTGTTTTATTTAACTTTTGGGCTAGGTTTTCCTGGCCGCTTTTAAAATCAGATTGAGTTCCTCTATGTGTTACGCCACTTCCATTAGTTTGCCCAACCCTATTGGGCTTAGTAACCTGATTTCAGCCCTTATATTTGGCTTTAGTCCATTGATAAAAATCCCTTCTAGTATTTCGTCTGTCATCCCCAATACTGGTGCAACCAGGGCTTCAAACGATCGCCGGACTTCAGCCACTAAACCATCCTATTTCACCGCCAAAATTTTCTCGCAAAGACTGCTTTCCTGGGTTGGCTGGAACTGCAGCAAAAGTTGCTGCCAGAATTGTCCCCCCTGAAAATTGGCACGTTCAATTTTCTAGCCATTGATTCTCCTCCCAGTACTGGCCTATTTCCATCGTGACTCTGCCATAATTGGCTTCGCCTGGTGCTTTTCTCCTGGAATTTAGTGATTACTTTGGAATGGGCTTGTTGGAGTTGATCCTCCAGTGATACATCCCGATCCATCCTTTTCAACTTTTCTACTCGAATCTGCTTTCTGACGAATAAGAGATGATACTGCCTTTTGAGTTTCTTCCATGGTTTGCATCATTTTGGCCATGATCTGGGTGAGGTATTCCACTGATTTCGGCAACCTCTGCACCACTAGTTTAATATCTTTCATTTCTTTCTCCATGGCCTCCACTCTACTTTCTATCTTCTTTTGCGTCATGGGATCGACGTGCTCTGATACCATTTTTTAAGGTTCTAACACGGAAAAACAAAGAACATAATATGTATAAGCAAAACTCTTATTGAATGCCGGAAATGATTACATAAAAGGAAGATAACATTTAGTCATTCGAGAGGACTACACTCTCCTGAGCCTCACTTCATTCCCCCCACTACCCTACAAGTTGCCTCTCTATTTATGGATCATTTCTAACTAATTCCCCCCCGCCTTGCCATAACAGAATTCTGTTCATGTATATTCTTCTCAATTCTTCTGGGCTCTTCTAGAATTGGAGGCTTATCACATTATTTTTAATCTTTTGTAGGAAACATAATGATACGTATTTATAAAGTTGAGGTGCAGAATTAACAATTAATTAATGTCTGTTTAATAGTTCAATGATCGTAACATGCTTATACACACACAAACACACACCAATTGATTTATAAATTTGGTTGGATCAATTTTAGGATTCACGATCTGTTGGGGCTATAGCTGGGCTAGCACTTGCTGTAGTTTTTACTTGGAGATTATTGAGAACACCTCGTGGATCGCAAAGAAGGCAACCGAAAAGGCAGGCTCCTACAACTGGTAGTTCTAGCGCTAGTAATCATGCAAATGCCACTTTAAATGTGACATCTTCAGGCATTAGCAATTCCTCAGAAGATTCAATAACTCAAAATGTGATAGATGAGTTCTTTCAGCCTGTAAAGGTATGTGGGAATTGTTTTTCATCCTTCTCTACAAAACTGTATGGTGCTTCAACTGATTCATGGTTTACTTGATATTCTTTTCTTCAAATGCAGCCAACTCTTGGTCAAATAGTTCGCCAGAGGTTGAGCGAAGGGAGGAAGGTACTTCGTTGAGTACTTAGATACCTGATATTCATGTTCATTGTTTGTATGCATGTGTTTTTCCAGTAAGTTGGAACTATTTCATAGACATGAATTCTTAAAATAATGGTTTAAAAATGTATTTGAGCCTATCCATTTTCATTGGTAAAATGAGAACTGAATGGGAAATTGTGAATTTTATCCACTTCTTTATCAACATTATAGACGCCTATTATCATGATGTTTCGATTCACTATACAACCTCGTTTCAAAGGCAAACTCACTTCGAAAACATTGACTTCATTACAATTTGCTAAAACTAGATCAAGAAATTTAAAAATCATAATTGCTAGGCTTTCTAAAAGAATTGCAAGTAGGACAAATTACTTTTGATAACTGTTCCATTAGTTGGGCATATTACCCATAATTTCATTTTTATCGCTGCTAATAATATATTATATGTATGTTTTTATCGAATAATGTTATATATTCATCTTAGATGTACCCAGAAGTAGTTAACTTCAACTACATTACACTTGATTAATCAGAAGTGATGTTTTAGATATAAGCAATACTAAGATCTTCCGTTGTCATCATAACTGCTATATAGGACCATTTTTCTATCGTAAATACAAAGTAATATTTTCTTTGCCCAATCAAAATTTTAAAAGAATATATACTCTTTTTTGTACAACACCATTAGCTTGCCCATGCAAGTAATAAACTTTTTCGTCAATTTCATTGGCCATCTCTCTATTCTTCTTCAGTTAGGGCTAGATGCACTTCAACAAGAACCATCGTTGAGGTGGTTGCAATATAATAGTTCAACCTCTTGGACATCAGAATGTGTAAATGTATCTATTAATCGAGGTAAACATGGAAAAGGAAGTATGACTAAGAAAATGTCAACTTTACCTTGATTCAAGCTTCTAAAATTGCTTGGGGCACTTTTGACTAGACGTGGCGGTTGTTCTATAACAAGAACAAAAAAAATAATTTTATTTAGTGTCCTTGTTATATTTTTCCAGTATTAACATAGATATCATAGTAAGACCTATATCGATCATAGTAAGACCTATATCGAACATGGAGATCCAATGCAATCTTGTTTTTGTAGTCTTATCAATTTCTTTATTATCATTTACATGACAATTTCTTTTGATACTTTCACAAATTCTGTTGTTCAGGTAACATGCAGGTTACTTGGTGTAATTCTTGTGGAAAGCATCCCAGAGGAGCTGCAGGTTATTACTCTCTTCCGTTCCTTTCATGTTTTTGGAAACATGATTCAAGGAACCATTTGATCTCATGTTTACCTATTTATTTGCAGAAACAAGCAACTGTGAGATCGTCTGTGGTAGAGGTGTTGCTTGAGATCACAAAATTTTGTGATCTTTATCTCATGGAAAGGGTTCTGGATGATGAAAGTGAGGTATGCCCAACATGGCACATGTTAATCGTTATTAATTGCTATCATCGTTCTTCTTTTCTTCTTTCTGTGCAGAGTAGTGCAAGTAAAATGTTTGTTCTTTTCTTGATGGTGTGTTTTCAGTGTTTCTTTTACTTTCAACTATCGATAGATTGTTGGGTTTCAGCTTATGTTTTGTCTTCTATTATTATCCATTACCATAGTCTCTCTCTCCCCCACACAACGACCTCGCATCTTTGCAACCACTAAAAATGTCTGCAGAGCTCTTTAAGCTTATCTGCAAATTAATTGTATTAAATAAAGCAATGCATGTATTTTGGTAAAGAGTAATCATACATATTAGACCAAATATACATGCAAATGCATCTTAAAAAACACATTTGCTTTGTTTATGTGACATAAATGTGCTCTATCAGTTTTAGCTTAAGAGCTTACATTATCGTGGCCTTGCCAAAAACATGCAATCTATTCAGTGACAGTGCTAGTAGCTATCAGTTTTCAGAATTTTTTTCTACTGTCATGTATAAATATTTGTCAAAATAAATGTAGTGTCTTGTGTAGCTTTGTCCCCAGATTTGATTATTCTTGATCTACATGCCAAAAAAAATTAGTTATTTAAATTCTCGCTTAGGTGTAAAAATATTGATAGAAAGTTCTGGTTTAAGTTGTTATTGGATGTATCCAATTCTAGTGCTAAAGTAACTAACATATTACAGATGTTTTATGTTTAGCGTAATGACTTGGTCTTTATGCCGAATTCACTAACTTACGTACTACCCGCTATGAGAGAGCTTAAGCTCTTCTTACCCCTCATGGCTTTCTGTCGAGTCCCTAGTATTCGAATCCAATACCTATGCTTTAGGAGAGATTTAAATTGAATCCCGGTATCAATTGGAGTCTTAAGTTCGAATCCCGTGAGAAGCGACAAAAATCCATGAGAGGAAAATAGGGTAGATGTCCTCCTAAAACAGACAGTATGTATGATATAACGGGTATGAGGCTCGAGTCGTTACATTTAGTCCTGAGTTCAACTTAAACTAATCATGTTATTCAATACATAAAAAATATAGAAGAATCTAAATTCAGAATATTAAAGTTTATACCTTCTTCGAAGGTGATAAAAGTCACCTATAAGCTATTCCATTTTTCTTTTTAGAAATAGTAATTATTAGTGTTCTAAAAAACGTAAAATGTGGCTTGGCGTGAAAGCCAAGCTTTACGAGTTTAGGCGTAAAAAAATATTTTCTTATTTTTATTATTATTTTAAAATTTTAGTCATTTTTAAAATCATATAATAATTAAAATAATACATACAAACATTTAAAATTATAAAATACTATATTTACTTAATAATTCCTACAATTATACAATTTTCAAGTTTTTGAAATGCAAAACTTAGATTATTTTTATAGTTTCAACTTTCTACTGGACAAGTCTTTACTTAATAGATTTATAGAAACTTCATACATATTTGCGAAGTTTTCAACATAACAATTAGTCTCAAAATAATAATTAAATAATGTGGGTAGCTTCGTAGCTTAAATCTTATCTAACTCTTTATCGGGTAAAGTCATTTTTTTTTTCTTTTGCACCAATAAAGTAATTTAAAAACTTGAAACTAAAGTCAAATAAAATGTTTATTAAAAAAAGAAAAAAATAAAAAAACTTATTGTCAAGGCGTGGCATGTCTCCCGCATCGCCTAGACGCGCTTTTTAGAGGTAATACATACAAAGTAATTGCATATCTACCAATATGGAATAGTTTGTATTAGCGAGCTTGACACCTTGTTGCATATTAACTTTTTTCATGTGTTCTTTAACCCAAAACTCTATTGACATGATTTTTGTACATATTTAGTCCTGTTTGACATTCATTAGATCTTTTTTTTTAAAACTCATTTTCAACCACACATTCACACAATTAAATATTTTGTACGTAAATCCAAAACTTTTTCCTACTTTTTAACCAAACATTCTCCAAAATACCACTATTACAAAAGCTTATTTTAATGGATGTCAAACAGGTGCTCAAATTTGCATGTGTGCTGAACTTGTATAATATATTCTAAAGTTTAAATGTAGGTAAAAAACAACCTAAGAGGTGGTTGAATAGGTTGTATAGGCCTGTTTCAATCTGTTCAACTTTTCTGGGAATGTCTCTCACAGTATTCAGATGATCAGGCTGAATATCTCTCAGAATATAAATAAAATCTAGAATACAAAATTGATTTTTTCAGAATTTTTAATGCACTGAAGAGTCTCTTTGAAAAAAAAAAAGAAATCATGAAATGTGTACAGCTTTCTCTTGAAGTCAGTTATGTTGTGCATTTGTTTTCATAGTTAGCAGTGCCTAATGCATTTGATTCATCTTGAATCATATGGGACATATTTTTGGCTTATTTGCTTTCCATAAAATTGCTTTCTAAGCAAAGTGGGTTGTGGGACTTGTCTCTTCAAACCTTGAGAGGGGAATGAAGTGGCCTATAAACTCACATCTTTTGCTACGATGAGTAGAGACGATAGATTGTCGGTTGATTGTATTCCATTGTCAATGACAGCTGTAGTTTGCGGTGAAATATATTATAAAGTGGTTTTTTGGTGTTTTTTTTTTTAAAAAAAAGAAAATTGCTTTCCAAGCAAGTGCTATGTACTTTTCTAATAATGAGCATGTGTAATAATTAATTTTCTCTATCAACACCTCATGTTCTGTTATGACGAACTCTGTCATTGCTTTACGTGTACCCTAGATTTCATTGTCACTAATAGGTTTATAAACTTTTGCAGAAGAAAGTTCTCCTAGCTTTGGAAGATGCTGGGGTCTTTACATCTGGTGGCTTAGTCAAAGACAAGGTAATGACTGAAAAAATTATTTCTACATGATAATTTAAATAATGTTGCTCTTTTCATGAAAAGTATTCAGATTTGTGCTATTTTTTCCTTGAATGTTGTTACTCCTGTAAAGTCAATGAGAACCCTTTGCTTATCAATTAGCTTTCCATAAAAATGGAATGAATAAATATTTTTATCATTTTGCTAGAAAATCGATAAGATTTACGGAATAAACGGGTCCATTTTTTTTTCCGTCACATGTCAAGGCCTGTCTTTGTTTTTAATTATCAACTTTGAATAGAAAGTTGAACAACTTGAACAAAAAGGTGTGCAATGCGATGATTATCGAAGGGTTCTCTCATTTATGACTAATCTCACTTAAGAACATTGAACTTTTGGGTTTGGTTGCACCCACACCTAGATAAAGGAGGGTGGTGGCATGTTAACAATAAACGCAAATTTTTATCACATTTTATGATGTGAACTTTCTATAAATTTCAGTACAGCATGCCCCACACTCTGCATTTGATATCAGGTGTAGTGTAAAGTTGTCTAGGTTATCTAGGCTGTAATCCATATGCGACACTCTAATGGACGGGTGATGGAAAATTTATCTAGGACAATAGAATTAGGATACAAACTCATAATATGGGGAAAGTTACAGGAAATTAGAACTAATAGATGTGATGCCTAAGTGGAAAATCAACATAGCTTGCATGCAAGTGATTAAATGATTAGAGGAAAGGTGAAAGAATTAGGAAAAATAATGATGTGTACTTTGGTATACAAACAGGAAAAATGTAGGGGAGGGGCATAAACAATTATTTAACCAACTTTAAAAGATGGAGAGCATGTTTGGGTGAAATTTAAATGGTTGCTTATAAGAACATCTCCAGTAGCTTCTTTACGAGGCCGAACCTCTTTATTTTAGAGAGTCAAACCCTCTTTTTGGGAGTCCAACAAACACTGTATTTATAATTTAAAGTAAAGATTGGAAATGACTCCAAGTTTAAAAAGCGAACTCCCTATATACTAATATAGTGATTTCATTTATTAATTCACGAATTCCATCCACCTTTTTCAAAATAGAGGGAAAATGATCAAATAAAAAGAGGGTAGCTAGGTAAAAATGGATAGAAATGAGTCATAATTGCTTATGGGAAAAATATTAATGGATAGAAATGAATTTAAATATTAATAAAAAATTTCCAATTCATGTTACACTAGATTGAATTAACCTTTTTTTTTTTAGAAAACGACAAAAGTTTTCCATTAAGTGAAAGAAAAGTTAAAAGAAACACGAGAAGGGGAAAAAATACATGTTTTAGATGGGTTCGAACAGCTTGGTTCCCAGAAGCCAATTGCGAGTCGAAGAACGCAAATGTTTCAATTCTTGGTGTAATACAGTTTCTTCAGAAGGAAAACCCAAACTTTAATGTTAGAACTCTATAGTTGTATAGAGATTAATGGCTAGTTTAGCTTGCACGTGTGAGTAATTGAGATTAGTTTATTATTTAAAGTAAAAATCAAAAAGGTCAATTTCTACGGTAGTCAGAAGTTAGATGGGACAATATATTATTATATTAGGTAGACCTCTTTAGGACAAGAGTCGATAAGGGTTGTTAAGTCTTTTTCTAATGATGTCAGGGTTTTTAGTCTTTATATCATGGAATATGATAAAAAAGGCAACAAAGTAACAATTTTGGTAAAACCTTTATTGGCTGAATCAAGCATTCCCTAGTCAAGATAAGATTTTTTGAAGATTTTAGTGGTCATGAGGAGAAACATGAGTCAGGATATGAAAGATTATATGGAAATTTTAGCTTTGAGGACCAAAATGAAGGCTACTGGTGAATACATGATTCGAAGAGATTGACTCTGACCTAATAATTGATATAACTGAAAAAAAGTTTTTAATCTTACTAGATGGTGAAAGGTCATTGTGCTAGAATTCTAAGGTGATACTTGGTGAGAGCCTAGCTACATAATATGGGTTAGCGATGCTATGCCATTATTAAGAAATGGAAAAGAAGTACGTAAGAGGTTTGCATTCAAGAAAATAATAAGGGAACCCACAGGATAAAAATGGGAATGCAGTAGCTAGCTGCATTCAAAAGCTAGCGAAGTAGACATTAGGAGAATAAAAATTGAAACCACCATCTAATAAAGAAAACATGGTAGAACTAGAAGGTTTGATGACAATTAAAGCTGAAAGTGAATGCCATTGGAATTTACTGAAATGTGAAAATTCTGAGGTTTTCCAAAGTTAAAAGTTAATTTGATGGGAAGCCGAAAGTGTGCCCGGGTTCTACAAAGCATGTGAGTTGTATAGTTATCTTGGAACTCAGGATAGAAAAAAGGCATTTAGAAATTTCTGGTAAAAGAGATGCAAATCCATAGAGGGAATATAATAGATCTTGATGCCCACCGTCTACCGGGGTGAATTCCCTATTTTGATTGAAGTTATCCTCTAATATGTATCCTAAATTTCATTAAGGGGACATAATGAAAGTTATTGGCATTGGAGCATGAAAGGGCGATATGAGTTAATGAGAGCACTATTTCAAGGCATTTTAAAATTTAATAACTTGGACTTGAACAATCGGAAATTACCCATTCTAAATGTTGAAAGCACACAAAAAATAGTGGTTACTGCCACAAAATTAGTTGGAAATAGAGAGACGTGTGAAAGGAACAAGGGTTGTAGAGAAGTTCAATTAAAAGGAAAAAAATAAATTATCAAAAAGGAAAATACAGTGAATAGAGGAGGACTAGTATGGTTTGACCAATTAGGTATTGTGATCTCTATAGTATTTCACCCTTTTTCTTTGTATGAAGGAAGGATGCCAGACAAATTTTGTGAGGTTTACAAAGCTTACAATTTATGCTACCACACCACATTATCCATCTTATGAACAAATATTTTATATATGTACCTAATAATTGTTTTTGTCTATTTTTTGATACATGCCCAAAGGCCCTCCCAGGCTATGGTAGAATATAACTCGATGCTGCAGTGCCCTTAGTGCCCTTGCCTTTTCTCTTTCTCTCGCTCCTACTTCCATTTATGTGACTTAGTAATGCTCAATATGGGGTGGAGGAGCACCATTTGCCTCGATATACACCCCTGTATGTATGATATCTAGCAAATTTGGTCTTTAACAGTTGAGGCATAGATTTATATACATCCACAAAAATTCATCAAAAAATTTCATTTAGTTTTGGCTAAAACTCCCAAATAAAATGTGGCTAATTTTGATTTCCGATTCAATATTATGTAGTCTCTGACTTGTTTCAAATTCGTCTACAAGTCAGTATTTTGTTCAACTTACCTATTTTAATTTTTTTTTCAACATAATTCAATTGCTTATTGTTCGTATTTTATTTTGTGAGAAATGAACTTGCAGGTTCTTTTCTGTAGCACAGAGATTGGACGGACATCTTTCGTGAGACAACTTGAACCGGATTGGCATGTAGACACAAATCCTGAAATTGTAACGCAATTAGCGGTATATTTCAAATTTCTCCTTAAATAATTTTTATTCCATTTTAATTTATGTACTCTTTTATTTTCCATTAGATCAATGTAAATATGGATTTAGGGCTATGTGATAAATTTAAAATGCTCTGGTTAGAAACATTTGGCCAGGAATTTATGTTTTCATGGTTAGCTTTTAGTTGATGAAGACTCTCAATGTAGGATATTCCCTCTACCAAATTGTTGGGCAGTGTTTTAGAAAATCACCTTTATATTTTACACAATGCTGTGACTATTTTAAATTGAAATTTTTTCTCCACTTTCTACTGCATGTTTCTGAATAATTTTATACGTGGATACCATTTTTTTCCCAACTTTGATGAACAATTTTTGAGTCTAAAAATAATTAAGTTTCATTTATGGACAACTCAAATGAGTGTATTCAGGCCAAGTGAACTAAAGTGTTCATTGTGCAGGTTCTCGAACTAATAAAGACTTTTTTGTTTTTGCAAAGTTCATGCTAGCAAAACATTTTTCTTCAAACCTCATGACTGGTTGAGGAACTAACATGAGCTACAAGCTGAGCTGGATTGAAATCATACCTTCTGTTTTGCGTTGCATGGCAACAAGTTCAAGTCTACAGCAATCAACAAGTTCCATCTACTAAAAGCTATCATTGAATTGATACGGCAAATAATAGTTATCCTGGTGAAAAACAGCGGCTCCATCCATAATAATTGAACAAACGGCACTCCCCACTACTACAATTAGATCCTTCAGTTCTATGATGATGCATAAAACTTTTGACATTGGCTATAGTAATGTCCAATATAATTGGGCAGGGGTAATCCAAATTCCTCTTTTTGTGATTCAATTTTTAGGAACTGGTGTTTGGGTTTTGTAAGTAATTTCTTTCAATGTCCAAACTTATAATATTTAATCTAATATAATTCAAGCCGAGCCCAGTTGTTTGTATCCTGCTTTTGAATAAGAGGTTGCCACTTCTGATTGTTGTTTGAGAAGATACAAGGTTTCGCAAAGGGTGTGAGTTCCAATTTGTCACCATCCGGAAATTGTGCCGAGTGTGTGTTATTTTTAATATAACTTTTCAGAAATAGCTCTTAAAAGATGTATCTTTTAGACTTGTTACTTTAATTGGCGGGGTTCTCTGACTTTTTTTGGTTTTCACACTCTTTTGCATCAACATCTTGTTTTCCATTTTTAATATTTTCAGAGATTCATCAAGTACCAGCTTCACATCTCTCCTATAAAGCCCGAGGGTACTGCTGCCAACGTTTGCACCTCTACATCCTTGGAACAATTCTTTGGATGCATCTAATTTGTCGCGGTATTGAAACACAGTTGTCAACTTTTTTTTCTCTTTGTTTCAAGTTCAGTGGATTTAATATATCACCTGCATTTACTGACTTTACAATGACTGATAATATACTGTTCAAAGTATTTCTCAGAAGAATTTCTTCATTTGGTATTGTGTGTACTACATTGGTTATTATCAGATGTTGACGTTCATAATTATGTACTCATTGTATTCTAAGATAATGTACATTTGATCTTGCAAGAAACTTTTTGAGGTGAATATATTATAATTATTCGTAGTCAATTTATTCCTTTCCCATGTAAACTTTAAAAATGTAACGCTGTTATTGCAATTGTCTTTGATATGTTCTTATTTTTTAGGCTTAAGAGCTATATCTACTCTAAATATGTTAGACTCATCTGTATATTTACAGTAGAAATGAAATATCACAATGTAGGCTTGTACAAGTCAAGATAAATCAGATAGCAAGCATATATAGTTGCCTTGAAGCTCCTGTCAATTCTTTATTCTCCCCCCTTGACAATGCAAGACAAGGTATTCCCCCATCAATATGCACTACCTTTTCTCATATTTCTCCCTCAAGCAAACTCCATTTTGTTATAAACAACCAAGTTTAGGGGTAAGCAAGGGATAGTCTCACGTTGAGATGAATTTTTATAAATCCAGCGTGATTTTGTATGTCTATTTCCTTACTATGATTTTATTGTTCTTGGTGATATAGAGCTAGGGTTTCTAATTCTTAGCAACATTAAACTATGATGTTCTTGAAGTGTTAAAGCTTGATTTCGACTCATGCCGAGCAAACAACCCGTTGAATCCACAATCTGGAGGCTGAACAGTCATAACTCTTTCAAGGCAAGAGGTACTTCATTTGTGGAACTGCTGGACATTGTGAACAAGGCATGAAGCTAGAAATCGACACTGTTGCAGCTTCTGCTCCACCACCAGCCACCTCCTTGGTCACTCCCTCGTCTCCTTCGCCAGCAATTCCATCAGCTCCACCAACCGGTTCCCCTGTCAAGCCACCTGTTTCCTCTCAACCCACCAAATTTTCGACTCCCTTGCCAAAGCATTCACACTTGCCTGCTCCTAAGATATACCCTTCGTCGCCTCCTAACAGGAGCCCCACGTCATCTCCTCGGGGTGTTTCTTTGCTTGCACCTCCTCACTCATCAGCCATTAAGGTGAATGTCATTGCTGGTTCCTTACTCGGGCTTGGTTTTTAATATCATGATGATGCTCATCAACGTTTGAGATTTTGAGCGAAATTCGTATACTGGATTGTTGTTATCATGTGTTCACCTCGATCAAAATTCTGCTTGTATCAATTCCTTCGCTGATTTTTCATTTATTAGTTAAAATAACGATATTCTAAACAACGTTAGCATTTGATTCATTCTTGTTACCAAAGTTAATGATAGTTCACACGAATAGATCTTTGCCATGAACTTGACTGTGTCGGGGGCTAGAATAATGCTACTCAAACAGGGATTGCAAACAGGGGCAGGGGCTGCATTGGCAGCACCTGTGGCTATTTTTTTTTCCCCAAATTGTCTAATGATGTTACACTACACGTCCTTCTGTTTTTAATCATTGTCAATGAGCCTGTTTGTGTAGCACGATTGATCTTGCATCCTTAAAAAAACACTTTTTGAATGTATTATTGAAATTAAATTTTGACATTGATTGTGTTGTAAAAGTGACTTTTAAGTTGCTAAAAATGTTTCACAAACAGAGGACTTTGATTGAACAAGTTGAACTTTTGAAGAAAAATGCTGTCTTTTATTGCAAGAGGATTTATTATTTCTTGACATTCAAACAAGGGCAAATTCTGCTGCAGGAGTACACCTGGCTTAGTTCGAACAGTAAGCAAAAGAGCAGATACCAGTATACTTTCTTATTTACTTCACATCCTTTCAAAAGAGATACACACAGTTATACAGCTGCTAAACATCAACATTTTCCCGAGCCACGCCACAATCAGCTCCTCCGGCTTATGCAACAGGAGGGCGAAGCACGTGATCCTGGGATGTGTCAACCACAGCAGGTTGCATGAACTGCCACATGGCAACACCAGGATAACCAATGAAGGGCATTAACTTGTTCCCTGCTTCCTTTGCAAATGCAACTCCCATTGCAGAGTGATGGGCTAATAACGCGGGTTGTGCAGCCAAAGCTTTAATTTGCAGTTCGAGCTTCTCTTTATTGGCCTTGAGCCTTAATTTCTCTTCTCGTAGCTCATTCTTCTCAACCTGAAGAGAGAACGGTGACAGAAATTTATCCATCAGATAGTTATCAGTATTTATCAAATATTTTCCCACATAATGACGATCTATTGGATCAAACTACGAAGAAATTATTTAGAAAAAAGATAGCTTTTCTTGGATGAAATGAAAATTGAATTCATGTAATAGAAGAAATATTTCCGATTCCTTAAGAAAGATATAAGCCCATAAAAGAGAGTTAAGCAGAACAAAATAGACTAGGCAGTGGAGTCATAAAAGAGTTATCATATGAAGTTGATTACAATAAAGATCAAAACTAAAACTTGATCTCAATTATGTTATACATTTACTTACACACTGATAGGATCAAACTCTCACCTTCAATTCTTTGATCTTTTCCAGCAAATCCTTGTTTGACTCCTTCAGCTGCTGAGCTTCAAGACGCAGCTGAGTTACCATTCGAACAGCATCGCATAAAATAGCACGTCTGTCTGTTTTTGATGGCTTGCCTGGCTCAAGGATAGACCTCAGTTCCAGGAACCTTCACCAAATTGTAAGTGAACTGTGAAACTCAAATGACACTCTATGAACAACTCGAGGAAAGAAAAATAATACCTCTCATTTAGTCGGTCTCTGCGCAACTTCTCTCGACATGCTTTAGATCCAGATGTATTACATGACTCTGACTTTAAGCTGTAGAATACAATTGAATCTTTACCCAGAATGCTTGAAATTTGTGTGCGCGCTATAGAGAGAGACTGATGACACCTCAAGGATGGACAATTTGTAGAAGATACTAGACACATGATCGATATCATGTCCTTAAGATCTCATGTTCAATCCTTATCTTATTACACACGATGACTTCAACTTCTCCTCCATTATATTAGTATCGGGTGACTCAAGTGATACGGCTCTCTAATCTCAAGCTGTAAAATTATGTGTCCTTGTGCTTTGACATTTATGCAGAGTTCAACGGTGTTTGTGCTCATATCGGCATTTTTTTATTGGACTCTTGCTGAAAGTTTACTCAATATAGAAGTCTTCTGATGGCCAGCATATCATCAGTATACTTCATTTAAACGAGATGGCTATCGTATTGACCAGTTTAGGTATGCTAACTGAACATTCCGCACTATTTTATCTTCCATGGGTGTACAGGCATGCTTATAATGATGAACACATACTTAGAAAGAGGACTCAGGAAAGATGCAACATGGGAAAATCCAAGCGACAGGGTAGAGACTGAATAGTTGAGGCAATTTAACATATAAGTTACTGCAACATGCATATACTTTTTCATTGTTAATCAAAAAGGAACGCTTAATCAAGAAACAGAATATATTTTATGTTTTCGTCAAGTGCAAAGAAGAAAATATCAGTCATAGCTATGTAAAATAATTAGTGTAGAATTCAGTAAGAATCGGTATTACTTGACTCTTTATATGCATTACAAGTATTCAACTTTGTCTAGCTATGCAAACGTTAGAATTTAGGTAATCCAATCAAATTCCATAAATTTTTCTGGCTTCTAGAAACCAAATGCTGGTAATTCGATCATTTCATGAACAGTAAACACATTTAGATATCTAAGTGGGCCGAAAAGAATCCATGACATGAGAATCTATGGTTTACAAAATGCCAAGATATTGACATCAAAGAGAAATAAGGCGTAAGTTTTGTACCGTTTACGAGGACCTTCTTCCTTAAAGCCTTGAGAATCCTCAAAAGAGCAGTCCAATTCCGAACTAAAAATAGAAAGCTAAGTCATCAGATGTGAAGAACGAAATGACATAGATGTAGTTGTACTTCCACTGTCCTAAGTTGTTTCTAACGAGTTCTTGGTACAAAGCTTAAGAAAAGAGACCACCATATGGTTATTGACCTCCTATGTTTTATATTAATCTTCAGTCTACGTTCTAAAACTTGCAATTTAGAATGAATTTAAACATTGGGACATTACTTACGAGTTCTATATCCTTTGAATTAGTACTTGTTAAATCTAAATGAAAATGTGTTTCAGTTTCGGGGCTTGATATGTCGCTGTGTGTCATATGACATAGGCTTGGAAGAGGTAAATACTTTTCAAATAGCTAATTCCGCTGCCATACTGGAATTCATTCAACGGCGTAGAAGACAAGAACCAAGTAAGAGCATGCCTGAAATTGCATTCCTTACTATTCTGAGTCAAAAACTCCTATCTTCCTTTGTTTTGCCTTTCGACTATCATACTATGCATATGTACAATAAAAGCTGGACGAAATTTTCCATACATAGGAAATTTCCATCACTCAGCCTGAACTTCCACATTTCGCAATGTATTTTAGCATCGTAATTCATCCCTAAGTATAAATTATTAGTAATAAAATCAGGCTTTCTACCAATATATTAACTGGTGTGTGAAAACAAGAAATTAACTTTGATGTTATCCACACACAGCATTTCATCCTTTATGGCAGGGGTGAATAACAAACCGCCAAAACGAATCGAAATCGTGGTTTTGAACCCGTTGTTTGGCTTCACGTGGTTTAGGTCGATCATTTCAAACTGAACAAACCATTGGAAATGATTCGATTTAGGTTTCAATATTTAAAAACCGCTTGAAACCAAACCAAACAGTTGACCCGATGTTCTTTTGTTTAAATATATATATATATATATATATATCATTTTATCCAAAATATATTATTTATTTGATCTATTTATATTTCAACAAATTTACTTGTTAGTAGGCTTCTATTGGCTCTTCAGTAAATGATTTATTTATGATAAAACTTTTATTTTCTCAAGAATGAAATTGCAAGCTTAAATTTTTTAGTTAAACTTATATTAATTTGAACCATGCTTCATGTACACAAGCATGTAGCTATATCAACGAGTCGAGCCGAAATTCAATGCTCGGGCTCAACTCGAGCAAAACATGTCCGAGCTTTTTTGGACCCGAGCCAAGCTGAGCAAATGCTCGACCAAAAAAATGAGGCTCGGCCCGGCCTGGCCCTTGGACTCGAGCCCAGCAAAAGTTCGGCCAAAAAATGAGGCTCGGTTCGTGTTTTTTTAAAAAATTCGTTATAAATCTATAATTTTTTATAATCTATTTAAAATTTGTGCAATTTATGTGTTATAAATAATAACTAAATATTAATATATATAAAAAACACATTTAAACTTGAAAGAAAAATAAAAAAATTTAATTTTTTTTTTTTATATTACTTAGTCACGGGCTGGTGATGAGCTACGGGCAGGCCCGAGCCTCAGCTCGGTGAACTGAGCCCGTGCCGGGCCCTACTCGGGCTTTTTTCATGGCCAAGCCTGAGCTGCCCGAGCCGACGAACTTTTTTTTCATCCCCAGAAGGTTCACAGAAGAAAACCAGATACTCACAATGTAGGGGGTGGGTGTGTTTTTTTTTTCATTTTTTATTCTGGTGGACCCCACACATGTGAGTAGATGTAAAACTTCTGTCAAATTTTTTTCTGTCCCTATGGTTTAATCCTATTAATTTATGGAAAATTACAAAAAATCAGGTGTTTAAAGATTGATTTTCAAAAATCAGATTGAAAGTTTACTTATTCAAAAATCAGGTAATAATTTTATATTTAAATAAATATATTAATATTAAAACCCTAACTCACTTCTTCCCTCACTCTTTCTGTCGTCTCTCTCTCTCTCTACTACACCGAAAATCACATCGCCATTTCTCTCCTTAGTCTCAACTCTCTCTACCTTTCCCACCTCTAACCCTAACTATTCCGATGCCGCACCCACCCCCCTCATCCGACACTGGAACCCCCTAAGTTCACTGTGCGATAAAGCCGATGTAGAAGCGGCGCTGTGCGTGCAATAGGGCCGCCATATGCAATGGAGTGTCGCTCGCACAGGACTACCGTTGTGGCTCCATCAGACCCTTGCTTATTCTGTGGCTCCTTCAAATTCGTCAGATCTAAAGCCCAAACCAGAAAATACGAGCCGTCAGTGGTGGAGGAAGATTGGTGGTTTTCCTTTTTTAAAGTTTTTCTGGTTTTGTTTGCAAATGGTTGTGTTATAGTGGTGCTTGTTGTGGTGTGGTAGTGGTGTTGGTGGTTGTTCAGTGGTTGTCAGATGATAGTCGTGTAGGTGGTTGTTGGTGACGATGGCAGTGATGGTGGCTGTGGCGGTGATGACGGTGGTTGTGGTGATGGCGTTGGTTGTGCGTTTCTGTTGGTGGTGGAGGTAGTTGGTGGTGGTGTGGTGATGGTGCAGCGGTTGTGGGTGGTGGGGGATAGCGTTTGTGACCAATTATTTGGTTGATCTGTGACCAAGTATTCGTGGTGGGGGGGTATTTGGTGCATGTGACCAACTATTTGGTTTACCGTGACTAACTATCAGTGACCTAAAAATTATATAATCTGTGATCGCAAAAGAATCTTTGACCATCTAATTTGGAAATCTGTAACCGACGAATTAATTGTGACCTACAAATTTTTTTATACGTGACCATTAATTATAACTGTGACCTTAATATATTTAATTAATAAATATATATTTAATTAATTAACTAATACCTGATTTATGAATTTTGAAACTTAAAATCTGAATATTGATTTGCCTCATTCCGAACACTTGACTTTTGAGTTTGAACTCTTCCCTTAGTTTATTGGTTTACGCCTGTATTCATTGGTGATCTAGGGGCAACTGGGCTGTGCTAAAGCCCGTCCCCTAGCCCAATTCATCTTTAAAAAATAAAATTAAAAAAATTAAGTAAAAACAATTTTTTATGTGTAAAAAAAAAAAAAATTCTGTTCGCGTATTAGCCCATCTTAATTTTTTCCCTGGATCCGCCCCTACTTGTATTGAGACAAATATGTTAGTATCGTAGCGTTTATGTTTGGATGATTTCAATCTAAGTGTTATAGTGAATTTTATACCAATATATTTATTTTTTTCCAAGTGTATGAAATATATTATTTCTATGTCGTTAAAACCGTGGTTTGAAACCAAATCAAACTGCAAACGATGGTTGGTTTGGAAAATGAAATGATGTTAAAACCGTTTAAAATAATTTGCTTTGAAATAGTTCAAAAATCTCCCAAACCAAGTATTGTTCACCCTCTACAAACTTTGTGCCCAAAGAGTCAAGAAAAGCACATCAGTATGCTGTCAAAAACCAAATACGTATTCAAATCTGCTCCATCTCTATCCACGAGGTTAACAGCCCCAGCTTTCACATATTTCGGGTTACTTTGTCGAGTAACATTAGCTTCCTGAAATTCATAAACTTCATATGTGTCCATTTGACCTAATTATCTCTCAAACAGTTATTGTTCTTCATTTTCTATCAAGCAGTTACTTAACAAATCAGCTTGAAGAACTGAGCATCATGTCGTGTTTTCTTTGTCACAGCTTAGAATAAATAAACATCAATCCTGCCTAAAAAATATATAATGCAAATTCTCATAAATTCGAGCATAATTTATAATTTAAGAAGCATTCAATTACATCAGTCCATTTTTTTAATTGTTTTTCGCACGCTTCGAAGGATTTGAGTATTAATTTTTTGCCTAAAAAATTTTCGTGATCCTACAAGGAAAAATACAAACTTAATTGAAAAGGGTTAAATTCTTTTTACAAGGTTGAATAAATCAAGCAAGAACTGCTGAAGAAAAATGGAACAGCCAATGTCACAATATAATGAAGAAATGGGTTCAAGAATTGACACACCTAACATTAGAGCTACAGCTGAATGCTTTGGGGAACCAGGAGAAGCCAAAGGCGGTGGGGGCGGTGGCGGTGGCAAGCGGCTGCGGAGGAGGACTGGGGAAGCTTGCTGCGGCCGAGACGGCAGAGATATCATCCATCAACTCATAGTCGCACAACCAGTTAGTGGTGGAGTTAGAATTCTCAGTAGAACTGATTTCCATTCTGGAACTGAGTCACTCAACAATGATTGGATTGTGGGACTAAAATCATCAACTGGGTTAAGAATGTTTTTGGGACGGCAGTGAAGTGATGGCAGCGTTGAGCATGCTACAGTGCATATTTCATAATCAATTTTTTATTTTTATTTTCCTAAAAGTAAACGCCTTAGGTTGGTCGGACGTTGAGTGCTAAGCACTATTTTGGATAAAACTAGGAAGAATTGCAACTTTTAATATCCAACTATCATTTATGTTTCGCTGTCATCCTCAACTTACAGAATCCACCAAAAAGTCCGTCATCTTTGCAAATGAAACTATTTTGAGGGCCGAAAATGTCATAAATTGCACACAATACTATCTGATTCCTCTTGTTTAATGCAATTCGAGTTTTATTTCATCTATATTGGTATACATTAGTGTGGTGGGTGGTTGTTCTTTGAAGCGATTTTTCACTTTGTATTTGTGCAGTGATCAAAATCACAATGGAACATATTGAAATATGAGATTTTAGTGAGAGTATAACCAGACGAAATAATCACTAAGTGGGGATTAGGAGAAGCTAGAACAATGTCAAATCATCTGGGCACCGAATCTATCCGAGTCTCTTTTTTCTTCATTCGGGGATATGTGATTTTCTTTTTTTCTTTTCACGAAATCAAGTTGAGTTTCTATACCCAGATGATTTGTCACTCTTCTTGCTTGGTCTAGTTGATCCGTACTCAGTGATTATTTCATTTTATTGTACCCTCATTCCAGTCATCCCTTCCTCCACGGGTCTTTAAATTCATTAACTATTTGTTCTTCTTCCATTTGAGCTCCAACTTCTCAACCACTATATGAATCAACCACATCAGGATTCAACATGGGTTGAATATGTACGACAACACCTAGAAACTCATTGACTCGCAGCAAAGGAGTACAAGGTCATGGTGCGAGACTTCCGTAAACAAGTTGAGGATGACGATGCAACATAATGATACATTAGGATGTAACTGTTAAAAAAAAAAAAAAACAAGAATTGAAATGCGTTTGCTACCAAGTGTATAGATTGAAGACTAATGCTACAATTTTCCCATAAAAATATGCAGTATCTAGTGGGTGAAGCGCTACAACGACATAGTCAACTATGTAAATTTGGAATATTATCTAGGAAATTTTCTAAGACCTTCAAATTGCAATTGACTAAACTCTTCAAAATTGATATTTTGTGCATGTCATTTTCTACTTAGGATAGTACTTGGGCTATGACTATCCGTACTAAGTGTGACAAAATTATTTTTTCCATCACCTAATACATTATAATTAATAGATGAAATATTGTCATAATAATATTAGTTTTGACCTTTTAAGACATGTTAAATTATGGTTATCTTTGTAAAACTTTATTGATTTCTCAAATATAATCGTAATGAAAATTAGCAAATTAATGTTTTTTTTGTTTTTTTACTTACACTCACCCCCTAAATGAGACTGAAATTCATATAACTGACTTGGTCAAGTTTCGCTTTTACCACTTAAGCTAGGTCTGATCTTGCAAATTAATGTTTTTAATATGCAACGCTTAGTTTACATTAAGATTTAATTTTTGAATTCAAATTAATAAAAAAATTAGCAAATTTTGATAAAGTTGATGAAATATATCTTTAAAAAGTTGTGAATTCC